CTATTCTAATTCTGTAAAGTATGCTTATACACTTTTGTTGTTGTTATCAGATTAGTGCCCGCTGCACGATGTTTAAACACCATTAGTAGCATTTATTCGCTGTCACTTATGCAAATAAAGAATGCCATTCCACAGAGTAACAACACATTCGCCTTATGGACTACGGAGTGTGCGTTTAGCACTGCATGGATGATGCACTCACACATATAGTCTGCCTACTGTTTACAAGCGCAGGGTACATTCTGTAGTATACTTTAACATTTTGTAATGATTTTTCCTCGGATGGCTCTCTATTTGAGGTAGCTGTCCTGGGAAATCGTTGAGTCTTCCCAGGGCCGTTGAAAGTCACATTGTTTTGGCAGTCGCGTTAAATAATAATAGTACACCAATACGCAAGACGATTAATGTACAATATTAGCATCGCGAGATATTATTCTTCCCGTCATATGTCCCAATTTGTGGTTGTACAGGGCGATCCAGATATCTTGTGACCCCCCAATTAATTGACCCCTAACATTGACTTCCCTTTGCATATTCATTTGTATTTTTAAATAAACCTTACTTTAAACAAATATTACGTTTTAGACAATTAAATGTGGGGGGGGGGGGGTCACGTGACATTTGGACCACCCTGTGTAAATCAGAGGTGGCAAGCCCAGTGAAACGCGGTCCGCACGGCACTGTAACACATTAACTGGATGTCTCCCTGATACTGCGGCTGCTGCTGCTGCAGCAGCGGGAATGAATATTGCAGAAAGGAGCAATAACACTTAAGTCATACAGTTTCATTGTGTTTTTGTTGGTGAGCAAAGAGCAGTGAATGTTGAAGCCAAACCATCATCCTTCCCTGAAACGCCAGACTTGGAAACCCCCCCACCCCACCACCCGTTCCACCGACCCCACATTGTAACAAAGAATGAAATAAGTTTACATGCCCTGTTCTTTGAACCAACACTACGTTCTAATTCGCATGCATTCTAAATTTCTGCGTTTATCTCTCTCGCACACTATTGACTTTTCACCCACACACTGTGGGGCTGAGCTCTCTCACGAGCCTGCCACGTATTTCACAACGCGGTTATAAGCACACGTTTAGCTTTAATTGGCGGGGAGCACACGCGAAATGCTAAGACCGCAGCAAGTCAACATGGCAATCCTGAGCCATGCATTTAATAATAATACTACACTGTACCCCACGTATCGCAATTCGTGGCGTGATACAGCTGTTGCATTTCCTCGGGTTGTATGTCATTTGATTTATATCCCTGCCTCGCCAAAGAGGCAGCTTGCCACCAACATCGCCGGTAATAATGCCTCGGTTTGCCATGCCACGTGATTGTGATTGGCGTTTCACACGTTCACCAATTCCCGATGCACTCGGCTGCCACCGAATTAAACAAGAAATTTAAATTGGTGACATCGAAGTGCCGTTCATTCTGTAAACCAGGCACCTCAATCCTGTATTTTTTTAATTATAATAAATCTGCACACACCCACCCTAAACAACCATAGTATAACTACAGTATACACGGGGCTTACAGGGATGCAAATATGAAGACAGCTCAGGAGCTTGACGTGGCTGGCTTCCATGGAATGTCACCACAGAACCGCAAGCGATCACGAGCAGCCAGTCAGCCAGCCAGCCAGCCGTGATGTGCCTCGACACAGCCACAAGGAACCCAGACATCACTCTCGTCCACTCCAAATGAGCAAAGCAAGGCTTGGGCCCATAAACAGCATACATATTCGATAGGTATTGCACGCGCGCGGGGTGGGAATGGCATTCAAAGGGGTTTGTTAAAGCTCGCTTTGCATTCAGTGTCGTATTAGATGAATATTTCAGTACACACAGTCGCACTTTATAAGCGCGTGTTGTTATAAGACGATTAATGCACCGACGGAGTACGCGTGCATTTGTTGTAGCTTTGGTTAAAAAATAATAATAATTGCAAGCGCATATTTGCTGCTTGCGTACAAATTGTACGCGTAAATTGCACGTAATGTACGTGTGCTGCTTGCATTTGCCGCACTATATACACATGACTGTCATAATGTGAATGACTGACACGTGCAGTAACTTAAAAATACAGCATCCGCAGTAGCAGGCACGTGTGTACACGTGCATCTTCATATTATACAAAGGGTATAATCACACGAGAATTATGCAGTATTTAACATGACGTGGAGACCTCATTACATCCGATATGAAATATTGAGTGCACGTAAAATGCTTGTATAAGACGCTGGTAAATACTGTATGCTGTGTAGCAAGTACATCCATAGGATACGTCAAGCTGTATGAGTGTATACGTGGTAATTAATGCCTTCCCCAAAGCCTCCAATCCCACTCCAGTGACGACATAACTCCACTCCCCTCCATCACCCCCCCCATCACACTCACGTCCTATCACCACCCACACACACACAACCACCCACCCACAAAAATACATACCACCCACGCACACACTTACCCTGCAACGCACACTCATCCACATTACACCCAGACATCCGCATGTTCAATACACACGCGGTGGCATTAACGTAACGCACACCCACACGCAGACACAACCGGTCATCCGCATATACAGAGCCTCAATTGTACATACTTGGGGAACAAAGATCACCCCGTATTGCCTTATCAAAGTGTTGGAGGCAAGTGCTGTTAGCGAGCACCTATGAAGGCCGGCACGGCACACGAGGGGGTGGGTGGACAGCACCACGCCCGGCCGCCTTTGTCTCCCCAGTGGCGATGTTTACACAGCGCACCAGGTACTCATTTGAGGCTGAGTCGACCTAGAGGGAGGCCCAGGACCTGTTTAGACAATCGTATTTGGTATTGGCCATGAGCGAGAATACACCCACACACACACCCCTACAGTGACACCCACAGAGCCACGCAACCACATACCCGACCAGTGTATCGAGAGACACACACACACCCATTCATCCACGAAACGCACACCCACCCCCCATCAACATTCACTCAACCATCCGTCCACACGAACACCAAACCACACGCACGCACACGCGTGGAGGAGTAGGAGGAGGGTGGGGTTAATGGACAAGGCTGTCCAGCCCCGTGCTCGAACGACCACAACAACGCCTCTCCGGCGAGACGGGAAGACAAAGACGGACGGGCTGTAGCGGATCCGCCGGGGCTTGCGTGGCCACGGGGCGTGCCTGGGATGCGGGCTGGGGGTCCGGAGATCCAGAGCAGCCGTGAATCGTACGTGCTTAATTAAGGGCTGTTACCCGAAACGTCGCCGATTATATATATTTAAAAGGCAGTTAGTTATTGATGAAGAATTTGTTGCATATTTTTTGGGGGGGGCGGGGGGGGAGATTGAAGCGAGGAGGAGGAGGAGAAGCTTCCCAAGGAGGATGATGATGAGCAGAGAGGGTTATTCCCACGGTGAGATGCAAAAACGATACTCGTTTGGCAGTGATTTGGTGACACTGCGTGGCAGTCGGTGATGCACAAGCACATATACCCTCCCCCCCCACCTCTCACCCCACATTCAACTCAACACGTTCCGTGGCAATGAGACCATGGACTTAACACGGGGAAATGTTTAACTGGCACGACGTTTCGGGCAATTGGCCCTTCTTCAGAGCACACACATTAAGCCTGTGAGACCGTGTGAATACTAAGAGTTGGAGACTTTACACTAAACGTGAGGTCGGGGGGGTGGCGGATAGTAATTAAAACTGCAGTTATGTGTTCCCTTCCGGTGAACATTTGTTTGTATAATTGGCATAAGAATACAGGAGGGTCGTGAGTTAGTCACCGATCCGTGTGATTCTCCAAGTGGCAAGACAATAGGGAAGAGGCGGGGCCAGACTGCCGAGGGTGGGCGGAGTCTAAACACGAAGAGGGCGGGGCTACCGATAAGGGGGAGGGGCTAATGATAAGGGGGCGGGGCTAACGATAAGGGGGTGGAGCTAACGAGAAGGGGGCGGGGCTAGAGAGGAATGAGGGGGAGGGGCTAAAATGAAAGGGTCGCGGCGTGCACGCGATGGGCGGGGGCGTGTGGAGGAGGGGGCGGGGCGTGTTAGAAATGGGGCGGGGCGTGTGTGAGAGGGGGCGGGGCGTGTGAGAGAGGGGGGCGGGGCGTGTGTGAGAGGGGGCGGGGCGTGTGAGAGAGGGGGCGGGGCGTGCGTGAGATGGGGCGGAGGCGTGTGAAGAGGGGGCGGGGCGTGTGTGAGAGTGGGCGGGGCGTGTGAGAGAGGGGGCGGGGCGTGTGAGAGAGGGGGCGGGGCGTGTGAGAGAGAGGGGGGCGGGGCGTGTTATAGAGTGGGCGGGGCGTGTTATAGAGTGGGCGGGGCGTGTGAGAGAGAGGGGGCGGGGCGTGTGAGAGAGAGGGGGGCGGGGCGTGTTATAGAGTGGGCGGGGCGTGTGAAGAGGGGGCGGGGCGTGTGGAGAGGGGGGCGGGGCGTGTGAGAGAGGGGGCGGGGCGTGTGAGAGAGAGGGGGGCGGGGCGTGTTATAGAGTGGGCGGGGCGTGTGAGAGAGGGGGCGGGGCGTGTGAGAGAGAGGGGGGCGGGGCGTGTTATAGAGTGGGCGGGGCGTGTGAGAGAGGGGGCGGGGCGTGTGAGAGAGAGGGGGGCGGGGCGTGTTATAGAGTGGGCGGGGCGTGTGAAGAGGGGGCGGGGCGTGTGGAGAGGGGGGCGGGGCGTGTGAAGAGGGGGCGGGGCGTGTGGAGAGGGGGGCGGGGCGTGTGAGAGAGGGGGGCGGGGCGTGTGGAGAGGGGGCGGGGCGTGTGAGAGAGGGGGCGGGGCGTGTGGAGGAGGGGGCGGGGCGTGTGAGAGAGAGAGGGGGGCGGGGCGTGTTATAGAGTGGGCGGGGCGTGTGAAGAGGGGGCGGGGCGTGTGGAGAGGGGGCGGGGCGTGTGAGGAGGGGGCGGGGCTAGTGAGAAAGGGGGCGGGGCGTTAAGCCTCCCAGAGAGAGAGGGGGGGGAGGGGATTGGAGAGAGAGCTTCAGACGCACGCTTTGAGGGCGGAAGGCGATGCTCTCTCCACACTCGTACCACTCGCACAGTCGTCTCGGGAACCCCGAGTGTGTGGGGCAAGCTATCGAGCCCAGCTTGCTTACCGACAGCCCTCTCAACTGAAGTAGAAAGGTTGTAGCAGTAGTAGTTATAGTAGGGCTAGGACATGATTAGTGTCGGTGTCGTGTTTACAGCGGCGTAATAGCCCTCATGTTATAATCTATACGTACAGTCTATATAGGAAGGAGCGCGCGCGTGTGTGTGTGTATGGTCGTCTCTATATATAGGGCAGCAAGGCACACAGGGGAAGCAGGACAGCGAGCCGTGAGGGTGAGGGGGGCAGCAGGGCTGCCCTGCGTCATGTGAAGTGCTGCTGGCTGCTGCTGCTGCCCTCAAGCACTGGGAGTCTGTGAGTAACACCGACACATCATCATCATCATCACCAGCATCACCATCATCATCATCACCACCATCATCATCACCATCATCATCACCACCATCATCACCACCATCATCACCATCATCATCATCACCACCATCATTATCATCACCACCATCATCATCACCATCATCACCATTATCATCACCATCATCATCACCACCATCATCATCACCACCATCATCATCACCACCATCATCATCACCATCATCATCATCACCACCATCATCACCACCATCATCACCATCATCATCACCACCATCATCATCACCACCATCATCACCACCATCATCACCATCATCATCACCACCATCATCATCACCACCATCATCACCACCACCACCATCATCATCACCACCATCATCATCATCACCACCATCATCATCACCACCACCACCATCATCACCACCATCATCACCACCATCATCACCATCATCACCACCATCATCACCACCATCATCATCACCACCATCATCATCATCATCACCATCATCATCATCACCATCATCATCACCATCACCACCATCATCATCATCACCATCATCATCACCATCACCACCATCATCATCATCATCACCACCATCATCACCACCACCACCACCATCATCACCATCATCATCACCACCACCATCACCACCACCATCACCACCACCATCATCATCACCATCATCATCACCACCATCATCACCACCATCATCACCACCATCATCACCATCATCATCCCCTTAGCTATTGACGTTAACAATGTTGGGATATTTGCTCGTCTCTCGCTCACACAGCAACAGCAGCAAACAAAGTGTTTTTGTTTTATAAAGGAGATGATTGTTTTTGCTCGTGCTGATGTTTAATGGTATTATTTGTAATGATGTCCGTGTCGTGTCAGATGACTGACTCCGTATGGGTCATCTCGGTGCTGTAATGCCACGAATTAAGCAGGACACGTGGATAATTTCACGAAAGGTCATAGAATCTCCACGTAGCATCATCATCATTGTTGTTATTTAAAACTTTGCGAAGCCGTGCCAATGTCACTAATGTACAGTAATGTTGGAATGTTGTCAATAATTGTTCATGACAATCGCAGTACTGGGAACGGCATCGAGACACAACGCATTGAAAGGCACCTCCCTCTGCTGCTAATTGTGAGCGTTTGTTTATTAAACGCACATTAAATCTACGTTTATATACTGGGGGTGTATCTATGTTGCAAGTATTCATATCCTGTTCAAGACAGTGTGTTTTCACCTACCCCCCACCCCCCCCCCCCCATTGACCAGCGTGGTGAAGTATGGTCAAACATTGCTACTAAGCCACAACGGCGTGCGGAGGCACTCATCCAGCAGTGGATTTTCACAATGTCTTGGCTGTACATCCACGATTTAGATGTTGTCTTTAAAGTACAGTCCACACTGTGTGCATAGTTTGTGTGTCTTTATAATATACTGTGTGCTTACATCTTGCTTGTTTACACACGGCTCGTATATACTGTGTATCCGTGTTAATGGGAAGTTATCAGCACTAACTTGCTACACAAATGTTCCATTGTATTTAGAATAATACAACCGGACACTAAAACGTTACATTTTGGCAGCAGGGTTAGTTAGTGAGTGCCGTGCCCGCCGCTTAAACTCCCTAAAACATTAAACTCCCTAAATTGACCAGTGAGAGTTTGAAAACCGTGACAACTTTGTTTGTGTGTGTGTGGCCTTTGTTGTTGTTGTTGAATTCATTGCGATTTCTCCATTTGACATGAAGAACACACGAGACACCACGCAGTGCACGCTCAAGCATTTCGTTTCTCCTGCCCGCTCTCGTTACTAGCCAAGAGATTGCGACTGGCAAGATGCACATGGGACTCCCCCCAAAAAGTGCGATTCGCTTCGACAAATGGAACCCGTCGAGAGCTTAACGTTGTATCTGTTTACACCATTAGACCAAAGTCCACTCGGCCAGGAGATAAGTGGCGTGTATTTTGGTTTTAGACCAGGACATTTATGCCACTGGTTTGGCTGTCTTCTTCTTTTTGCTTCTGCGTAGCCACCGAGGGTTTCCACCTCCACCTCCACACCCCCTCCCTCCTCTCCATGTTGTCCAACGTTTCACGACGTCTAGCTGCTCAAGCAAGCTGGCGCGTTGTCCATCGGTGGTGTTGTAATAATTTTGTAATGTTTAGTCGTCGTCACCGTCCGGCATGAGAAATTAAGCACTAAAGAAGGCCCTTGGGGTTCCCCAAGTGAACTCGTGGCAAAAAAAATCGTGAGTGCACCAAATAATTACTGTCATCAGCTGGAAATGTTGAACTTTATTCAGTACACATAAAGAGCTCATCATTCTAATAACACCACGCATTAAAGTAATAGTTCTCAGTGTGTTCACTTAATTATTGAACACAATTGTGATGTAAATACGTAACGTATCTTGTCAAGCTTGTGATGTTTGTAGTGATGTGATGCACGCAAATATTATTTATGCTTAGGGCCTTCACGAGTGGACTGGCAACCACCACTGCCAGCCTGGGCATGTCTTTGTCAAAAGTGATATCGCTTCTCGGAGGGCTTTTCACCGTTGATTTAATAAAGGACACAGATTCGTCATTTTTTTAAGATAATAAAATCCTGTAGTTTAAGGCACTGCTATAGAAATAAATGTAAACATAATTTGAATCTCTAAAAATATATGTATAACTTAATCCCACTTACGATTTTTTTTACATACTTAAATAATGCTACGCTATGTATTGTTTCAAGTTATCGGATTCATATTCTTAGGTTTTTTCGGTAAAGTCACGTAGGTAAAACAATTTAATTAATAAAAGTAAAATTAAAATAAAATACAAATCACGACGAATATGAATCCTTGCAGTCACGAAAGCTTCAAATCTAGAATTATTATCGTATATTTATCCACAGTTGGATGAAGGGCCCTCCCCGTGTGGCCACTTGCAATTCCTCAATCTTTCTCGCCATTGCTGCTGTTTGTGAGCTGATCTCATCGCTCCATCTCCACGATGGTCTTCCCGTTGAGTTCATTCTCTCCTTTAGCTGCCATTCCATCACCAGTGTCGTCCCATGGCCAGCCTTGTCCCTAGCATTGTGTCCTGCTCAAGCCGACTTGCCTTCCTTACCAGTCCATGTTTCTGATTTGGGTTTGTTTCCTGATCCACTTGCTCATATTTCATTGTCATTCCGGTCATGCATTACTCCACACTTTGTGCACTGAAAAACAATATTTTGTTCCATATTACTTGTCACTCTCTCCATATCTCTGATTCATGTTATAATGGATTATATGTACCGATTTAAAATGGTCTTCACATTGATATGGTGTTTTTATGTTCAAAAGCAGTTTTACAAAAAAACACTATCCTGTTCAAGTTCACCTCTGTTTGATCAATGTGAACTCAATCTTCCATCCATGATTGCCCTAGCTATACAACACATTCTCTGTTGTCTTACAGTGACCCCACAACAATTATAACCCTTTAACTGAGCAAACTTATAAATGACTTTTGTTTTGGTTCATACAATTTATCTTGAAGCCAACTTCATACCCTTTGTTCAATTGTTAAATCATTCGCTGTATTTCGCTTTCATTTGTTGTTATAATGACTATACCATCGGGGAATGAGATGGTTAATACTAGGTTCATGCCTTAACTTCCCCAATCAAATTTTTGGATAATGTCCGCTAATGTTCCTGTGCTATTACTCCTCCTGTGATTTGTGTTATACCACTTTTATTCTGTTTTCAGTGTACCGGTTCAACGCCTACAAATGGGTTTCGATACTTTCTCCATGTTTCTAAATGAGTTTGATAATTTCTACGTGTTTTTTTACTCATGCCCTCGGATTTGCGAGAGCTCGGCACACAGGTTCGGTTTCAACTGAATGAAAACGCCTTTTCATCGTCTATACACGTCAGGAATCATTGATGTTCATTTGTCTGGTTTGAGAGTATATATCTGTTCAATGGTAGACACAACTTTTTTTCTGAATCTTACGTGATTGATTTGCATTCGGAATGCACGTTATTCAGTTCCACATTATGCTTGCGAACATAAACATACAGAATAGTACAATAATAGTACAGCAATGAAGAAATATACAAAGGTAACCTTAATTCAATACATACACAAAACACATGCATTTAATACACTGTGTAGGTCTTCTTTTCTATGCTTATCATTGGATTCCTCCAGTCTAAATAAAGATCATGATTTTGATGTTCGTGTTAAGAGGCTAATTGTTCAGAAAAATTCTTCAAATCCGTTTTTTTTGCTCTCGTTGTGAAAATCAGAATGATTGGAGTCTGTATTCCACGATTGAGATTAAGCATTTCATCTCCACCATACCGCGGCACTGCAAGTAAATTCCTTTGCGCCCCATATATAGACAATTCTTACGTTATGGTGGCCCTTCAACGTTACCGCACACTCTAAACTTTGCAAGTGAGCTAAACGACAGACGTGTCCAATGCGCACTCTGTATGTTGCCCTGGTCGTGTATGAACACGCGTTTTAAGACGCATTCAGCTTAACATGGAAGCCAGCAAGCAGCAGCAGCAGCACCTCTTGCGGGCTGTGGAGGGCTGCATCTGTGAGGCATTTCGGGTCACGGGGGTGCCCGCCACACACCCTGTTTGAGTGGCTGCTTCTCAAGAAACGTGCGTGCTAGCAACGCGAGAAATTCTAGGGTGAGGCGCTTTTTTGTTGTGGTTTGATCGTGAGAAGGCAGTTACCGCACGCTCGGTCATAATTCCATTCCGGTGGTGTAGCGGTTAGCGCTTCTAACCAGGGGACCCGAGTTCAATTCCCGCTCACGGCCAACACCAGTGACGATTATCTGTACTGGTCCTGGGCCTCCCCTAGGTCGACTCAGCCTCAAATTAGTAGCTGGTGCGGTGTGTAAATATTGCCACTGGGGAGACAAAGGCGGCCAGGCGTGGTGCTAGCCGCCCACTCACCCCCTCGTG